ATAGCTTAACTGCAAACAAACAAAAGACATCAGAGGTGGGAGGAAATGGGGATTAGATCCCTGTTCCCCAAAACCACCACTGGCAAAGAAGTCCTGTAACAGCAGCATTAAAACGTTTCATAACACTCTGTTCACCTATAACATTTATAGATGTTCATGAGATGTTCACCCATCATGAAAGTACAATAAACATCAATCAGTAAAAAGCTGAATGAAAACTTGCCAGCTCGGAGCGTAGTCAAACATAAAAACGGCATTCAAGATCCTAAAGAAAAAATCTGCAGTTACCTCTAACTGGCTATTAGACAAACCCCCTACAACCCTACATACATGAGACAGCAAATTCTAGAATAATTTGTGAAAAAAAAAAAACACAACACAACAATCTGTGAAAAAGACTCATCTACTTTTTTCACAGACTCTGCATCTACTACTTGTAATAGCTGCCAAACTTTCAGGAAACATGTTTGTAAAGGTGATGGTGCCTCCAAATACAAGACAATTATACGCTGTTGATCAATCAAAGCCAGAACTTTTGTGACCAATGAGAAATGAATTATCTATACAGAGGAGAATTAATCTGAATAGAAATCTGAAGCATAGTACCTCCTTAAATGAGGACAGCAGAGAGCACTAAGCGAGCAGCAATTTCCTGCATGGTTTACAGTTCATAAACATATCAGAGCAAGGAATTCGCTTAACACACATTTACAGACTATTCTGGAAGTTATCAATACATGTCGCAATCTTACCGTGGCCGTAACTTTATCCCAGTCTGTTACAAAAGCACGGAATCCTTCCCCAAAGAGCATCCCAGCTGTCCTATGGTAAGCAAACAGCAAGGCAAGCAGGAGAAAAGAAAGGGATTTCAAAGACTAAATTGAAACAATTTACAAGACAACTTTATGATGATCTTCTTCAGAACCAGTCAAAGCTAATCAAGGGCTCACCTGGGAACTGAAATATGAACAAGCATGACAAGTACATTCATAATCATCTGATGTAAACACCTGATCTGGGATTAAATCCAGAAAAGCATCTGGCATTAAGATTATATCAATTTCTTTCTTGAATACATTCTTGGTGCTGAACTGTAATAAAAGTTATTTAATTCTAAAGCTTTTTAAATTCAAAATCTCAAAGGACCTAAATTTAACAAATTAGAAATCTAAATGCCTACCCGCTTGGAGATAAGACTACTTTATACCTTTACGGCATATGTTCAGAAACTGAAAGAACTCTGAGTTTTCAGAGTAACTGAATCTCAATCTTAGCGAATAAGGCTTGAAGTAATCTGTTAGAATAATTGTATAAAATTCACAACTCTATAAACAGCCTCCTTGGTCCACATTCAGATGACAATGTAACAAGACAAGTGAAAGAGAGGGTTCTCTTTAACGTAATTCCTATTGTTCAGGGTACAAGAGTGTACAAACTAACTTTTGATGTTCCTCAGAGCTTAGAGGAATAAACAGCAAGGTTTCCTGCATAATGGGAGAAATCTGCAAAAGCAGCAAGGCAACCCACACCCTTCTCCTGGCTTGCACGTACTTGAGGGACTCTAACACCGTTTGGCGATGCTCAGCAGCTTTTAAGCGGATCTGCTCCCGAATGATGTCTGCATTCTCCCGCTCAGCCTTGGCACGGGCTCTTGCCTCCGCCTCGACACGCAGCATTTCATTCTTATGCCGTAGCTCCATCTCTCGCTCTACAGTAGCTGGAAAAAAAAAAAAAAAAAAAAAAAAGAGTGAAGAGGACAATCTTTTGGGCTGGCTTAATCCCAGGTAGCAGGCAGGTGAAAGATGCATTACTTCACCTTGGCTTCAGAACAGCTGTATCGTCCCGTAGCAGCAGACTTCAAGATCTTAATTCCCTCCCACCCTCCCCCATAAGGCAGTCAATATTACAGAAGACAGACAAGGAATTTTTGTGCTCAGAAGGACCACACACCAAACGGGTGGCCTTCTCCAATGGCACACTGCAAGACAATAATCATGCTTCACCAGGATTTTGGAAACGTTGTTACTTCAGACACACAGAATTGTGACTGACACATTAAGATTGATGTGAATGGAAAATGAATGAGAAACCCAGGAGATGGGATGAGGACTTGACAGCCAGCACCCTCCACCTTCAGCATCACTGTAAGAAATCCTGACTGGACCACCCAGCTCCTTGATACCCAATACCCATCTTGATATCTGAATGCTGGATCGTCTACCTTGACATTCATATCTTGGTGCATAAGAGCGAGCGGATACTACAAGAGTAAAATCATCCTCTTCTACAGGGTTTCACCATCGAGCTTTGTTACACGGTTGCTACAATACTTCCCCCAAAGATGCAGACAAACACTGAAAGAACACGAGATGGCACCAAGGAGCGGACAACATAGCAGTTCACATCTGGGTACAGTGCAAAAACCAGCCTTCCCATCCCATTTGGTCATACTCAAATTCCTCTAAATTTCCAAGACTTGTGCCCTAGTGGAGTCCCACTGGAGTTCTGCAAACCCAGTGACTCTTGCAATTCCACAACAATGAAAAGAAACAAAGCAAGTTTCAGACTAAAACTTTCATTACTCAGCTTCTATTTTCTACAGGAATCACTGAATGGAGACCAGGTGACACAGATTCAACCATTCCCCCCAGGAGTTATTTTCTCTTCCCTTCTCAAAACTGGATCTATTTTAGATTGTCCCACTATAAGAATCAGAATTTCAGTTGCTATACCAGGAGATGCTGACAGTTCATTGGGAAATCCAAGTACCACGGGGCAGACATTTAAGAGCACAGCCACTTCTAAAACTAATTTTGGAAGCAACTGGTAGTTCTAGTACTACTGGGATTTACCCATTACTTGCCAACACGACATTAACATATGACCCTAATAGAGCATCAACCAATATGGACAAGGAGTCAAAGATCCATACAGAGAACTCATACGCCCACCCGCTCTGTCGTTAGCTAAAGAAAAATTACTAGCTTACCACGCCTCATGGCTTCCTGCTTCTGTACAGATTCTTCCTGCTTCCTCAGATTCTCCTCATTAGCAAGTTGCTACAGGCAGAGATGACAGCAGAAGATGCATTAAAGTTGTAAGAACTCGGTCAAGTAGGTGTTTGTGTAAGTTTAAGTACTACAAATGTTTTCAAGAAGCTAGGGCTCAGGTTGAAGTGCATTCTTCCTCTCCTCATCTCCCAGATTCATACTCTTAATCCCATGCTCCCAGCCACTTTGTCCTAATTCCCAACTTTTGATTTGCCTGGCCAGCACTGCTGATGCCAAGCAAACAGTACAGATGAAAGCAACTGTGCCTAGCATCAGCCATCTGGCCAGCACGATAGGGCACAGCTCCAGACCAGTGCTTTGACTTAAGAAAGCTACTATACAGTTCCCAGCTGGGTTAGAGAAGGAAGCTATCATACCTGCTGTCGCATCTGTTCATCATAGCGCTGCCTTGCCAATTTGTCCTGGTATTGGGCTCGCTTCAGGAAAAAAAAGAAGCATATTCAGAATATAAAGCTTAGGCATTTAAGACAGAACCTAGTCCTGAAGGCAATGAAATTTGGAACATGCAAAGGGAAAAAACAAAACAAAAAATAACCCTGAGTTTGACTATGAACAGGGCAAAGTTTGGGGCAAAACATCCTTAGCCAGCACCAAAAACTTTGCTATTATGAGAAATCTATAGAGTCTGACTGGTTTGACTATGAACAGTGGAAAATTTTGGGCAAAACATCCTTAGCCAGCACCAAAATCTTCGCTATTATGAGAAATCTATAGAGTCTGACTTCATTTTAAGTTATCACAGCTATAAAAACAAAGAACTAGTGTTCCTTGGCCCAGAAAAGGAGACTTACTTTACTGGGAAAAACATGTTTTTCATGTTCTAAAACATGTTACCCGGACTGGTGATTGCAAGCAATAGAACTGTCAAGATATGCTGCCTGTCAGATGAGCTCTGTTTCTGATTGACTTTCTTGTTCCTCATTAATTTCTCTCATCAATTTTCCACTGCAACTGGCAAATAAACTCACATTATCTACATACAACTGAAAGTGGTCTGAGGGCCCGAATCCATCAGCAAAGAGGACACTGTACAAGGGATGACATTATTCTCTATTCCAAATACAGACAGCAGAACAGCTTGCAAGCTATCTCCTCAACAACTGTAAAGTATGGCACTTCAGAAATATATCATCACCAAGTTTGCCTTGATTTCAAATGATGCCCTGTGAACTGCAAGAGTTCAAGAGCTAACTCATGAACAGAGCCGATGACTGTGGAGCCTGCTTCCTGAGCCAGCCTCGTTCAAAGTCCAAACGCTGATGGGACAAAAAGCAACACGTGCCACATAAGCAGTTTTAGCTACCTTTCCAAGCTAGACAATCAATTAGAATTAATCCATCCCTAATTTCCTGTGCTCTCAAAGTAAAAAGTCACCTTCTGTGAGCTATTAGCATAAAAGCTAGCTTACATTTTCCTCATTTCACTATTATTGCCACTTCAGTGAGTCCTGCCAAAAGATACCAGAAAGCACCAACGTTGCTCAGGACACAGCCTCTGGTAACTCTTAGATTTATATCACTTCTCCTCTTAAAGGATTTTTTTCTTGTCTAAAAGATCAAACTTGGAAGAAATAGGGTTGTAGGCTACTTAAGACTGAAATCTAAATAACTTAAGAGACATTTCATTGTCCGGCTAACACATATACTTGATAAGCCAGTAGTCTTCATCCTTTTAATGCCATCAGCTGTTAGACACAAACAAATGTATCTCAGCATGTTCAACAGCACTTCCCCAAAAGCTCCTTTAGGAAAATTTCAAGGAGCACACAATATGAGTAACTGCTACTACCGGTTCCTTTGGACGTTCAAGAACTCGGTAACAAAAGTTCAAGATGATAAAGCTGCATATAACTACAAATCAAGTTCAACATTACAAAGCCAGGGCAGAAGATGGGCTCAGCCTGCAGACTGCCTCACACCTATGGCTGCCCGCGATCCCCTTCCCCCCGCCCCCCAAAAGGGGCAATGAATGCATTGTTGCCTTTTCTGGAAAGGAGGACACAAATAAGGTCTCCCATCACTTGGCTTCCCCCTCATTCCCTTACTGCTTGATGCTGTTTTGTTTCTTCACTGAGCGTTTTTCGTCTCTCTTCTGCTTGTACCCGTATCTGTTCATTCTTCAGTTGTTCAATGGCAGCTTCATACTCCTATGAAGACAGTGATAACCATCACAAATGAGCTCAACATGTCATCCTATAGAGAAATGCTAGCGACAGTTATATTCCGAGAAATCCATCTGCAATCAGAGCGGTACCCTGCAAAGCTGATCAATGACACAAGCAAGCTAAAATACGATCATAAAGTGATTGTAAGAAATCTCACAGTTACCCATTTCTGGATTAAATACAATTTATCTTAAAAAAACCCAACCAAACCAACCAGTACTCAAACAATTTCTTTATAAAAGAAACAGAAATCTGTCTTCCACCCAACTACTTCACAGTTTCCTGCAGAAAACCCTTGTCAATCCCTAAAAATGGTGGTGTTATTCTAGGAGTTATAAAACCACTCGGGTCATGCAAGTTTGTTTACAAATCCACAAAATGTCCAAGAATGGGTCAAATCAGCTTCCACTTCACCTTCCAGAATGACTTTTTTTTTTTTAAAAGGCAAATAACTACTATTTGCTGAAGCTGAACAGCAACAAGAAAAACTTAGCACCCTCTGCAGATTACTAGAAAATGAGACTTCGATTTACGCCTCCCACAAACCTGGCAGCTGCCCGAGATGCCCTGGCTGTACAATGAGTAATGAGTTTCAACATACCTTAAGTTTTGCTTGCTGTTCCAGCTGCAAGGTCTGCTCTTGCATCTGGGCAAGACTAAGGGCATCTTTTGCATGGCCTGAAATTGAGAGCGGGAAGAGGTTATCGACGGTACAAAAGTCTTTTTTGAAGTGAGAAAAAGCTCAGTCTATTCAACCCAACCTAGCGCTAGCCACGACTGCCCAGCACACCGCTCCGAAGCCATACCCTCCCTGCTGACAGATGGTCGGACATCTTCCCAGCACACCCGTGATCTGAAATCAACAGGTTCACTCTGCTCAGAAGGTGCCCCAGTACCTTCCCCTCCCTTCAGAGGCCCCGGAGGAGGCGCTCAGAGGAAACCAGCGACCCACAAGGCCGACCTCGGGGCCCTACAGGCCGCCGGGCCCCTGGCAAGGAGCAGCAGCCCCAGGCGAGTACTGCAAGAGCCCGAGGCTGCCCCAGCCCTGCCCGGGCCGGCGGACGCACACCCTCCGAGAAGGTGGAACCTGACAGG